CCAAGAACGCATTCAGTGCACCGACTACATGAGCAAATTCGTATCAGTGACGTCAAACGGATCTAGTTTGGCTCTCGGCCCGATGCGCATTACAAACGGAATAGCATACAAATGTGGCGCACTTCCGTAGCAATAGAGGTGACTAAATTAAAAATTTATTATCTTATGTCTTTTTTGCATTTAATCTGCTCAAAACATTCTCAATTAACTTAACAAAAAAAAGTTGAACATAAAGTTGTCTTGCTTTGACTCATTGGGCAATTGCCTCTCTTGATTCGTCTGTAGTGCTGTCAGAAAAATGTTTCAACTGAAATTATGTGGATATTTACTATTTGGTTTTCACTATATTTATTGTTGAAAACTTGGCAAAATACCGACATATTTTTTAAAATATTATTTCAAAAGAAGAAAATGAAAAAAAATACCTATTATTTTGCATTTTTATGTTTCTTTTTGCGAAGAAATAGTTCCTGTAATACGTATCTTGGTCCTATTCGCTTCTAAGCCTGTTTCTCAGCGGATTTTGTTCGGACCGCCGATTCGTATTAGCAGGTGGATACATGAGTCGGTAGTACGCTCCTGATTCGCATTAGCGGTGAATCCGATCGTGATACGTATTTGCTTTGCTCATGTAACCGCGGATCGGATCGCCGATTCGTACTAGCAGGTGGCTACATGAGTCGGTAATGCGTTCCTAATTCGAATTAGCGGCTAAATACGTATTTACTGTGCTCATGTAACCCCGATAACTGTATAACGTATTCATAAAACAGCGCCTTGTCTGCCGCACTGGCACCACCGAGAGCCCGCTCACTCGCGCCCACCCCTCTCCTCCCTCCCTCCCTTCCCTTCTCCCCAAGGGTCAGGCGATCCAGTGGCCCTCAAACCTGACCGCCCTCCGCTGCGCCGGCCCACCAGCGCCACCCTGCCATGCTGCGGTACTTTCAAGACAGACTGTACAGTGGGTCTATTTAAGGTCTCCAGAGCCACCACGTGGCGCTACGGTCGGGGTAGGGCGAGTCCAAATCCCGAGGGAAGTGAGGTCACCGGTCATTGTGGGGGAAGGAGGGAGGGGGAGTGACGCGGTATCACGGCGCATGGGGCGCGCGTAGCGCCGGGAGTGGGCCGCCCAGGGCCGCCCGCCACTGCGCCGAGGCTGAGGGGAGGGGATGATGGTTGCGGGTGCGTTTACTCCGGTATGGTGGTATCCTGTTCATGTGGAACCGGCAAGAACGCGACTGAAGGGAATCATTATCTCAAACAAACGGGCAAGCCAGAGGCAGCGTCAGCTCCAGCCAAAATGTTGAACAATGATAATTGAAACAATCTAGGACGTATTCATAGCATGCAACTTTTCAGTCGATATTGCATGATGCTTTTCATGATGCATGATGAGGCTTTTCTTAACCCGCGCCCCACTGGGGGGGGCTATTTATAGCCCCCCCCTTCCGTTTTTCTGCAATAACTTCCAAACCGCTTGACGTATCGACGCCAAACTTTCAGTACCTTCGGCTGTATCAATTTGACACCTTGTGTCAAAATTTGAACTTCGTACCTACCATAGGTCGGCCGGAAATGACGTCAGAGTGACGTCATGTTCGGCCGATTTCGACGCAAAACATTGAACCACGGCAATCGCTCCCAAGAGCTCAGTTTTTAAGCTAGATCCAATTTCTTTGCATGGGAGGACTCAAAATAGACTGCGCTATCAAACTGCTATCTCGGATTTTCGAAATTTTGAAAATTTTGAAAATTTTATATAATAAAACTCAAAATATATATTTTTACATTTTTTCAAAATTTTTTGACTTTTCGAAAAAACCGGAATGTATGTCACAGAATGCATTATAATGACTAACTGTAGCAAGTTTTAGCTAAATATCTTAAAAAATGGCCAAGTTATACGCATTATTGCAAAAAATTAACAATTATTAATTTTTCAAATCAATTTTTTAGCATGAATTTGACATCGTACGCCAATATAAATAGCACCATCGTGTTCCTGAGCTCAAACTGCATCCAATAGACACCTTTTTTTGTTGAAAATTTTTAACTTCAAAATTTAACCTTTTTTGACCTGAAAGTGACCTGACCTGAGCTAAATTTGACTCAAAATGACCTCGAATGACACAGACGACATCAAATTAGAAATCTCTGACCTAAATGGACCATAAAACATGTGTCACGTGACCGATGGATGATATAATATTTTCGTGACCTGTGATGACCTGACCTTGACCTGAAAACCAAAGTACAAGTTTGGTACCCTCAGAGTATCTAGAGCATCTGTTCACGAGTGTGTGAACCAAAAATGAGCCTGATCTGACATGTAAGACGGCGGCCAGAGCCCAAAACGTGAAGAAGCCAAAATGCTAATAATTTTTACTTTGACCTGACCTGTGACGTCATCGGTGACCTCGAGGTCAATGAAATTAGGATTCGCTCGACAGTTTTTCCGGGGCTATCAGACGCCGTTTGAATTTTGACGATCGGCCCAGTAGTTTCGGAGTTAGGAGGGGGGCTATGAATAGCCCCCCCCCCCCCCCCCAGTAGGGCGTGTTATACGCAGACCCCAGTGGGGCGCGGGTTAACTGTTATTTGAGTTAGATATTTTTCATTTGGCACGTTCAGTTTTGGTGGGTTTTATCGGGTCGAAAAGAATCAGAAAAGAAAAAAGAGTTGAAATGGCTTGAAAAAAGATTTGAAAAAGAGAAAAATGGCCAAAAATAGTTTCCTAAAATTGAAACTTAGCTAAACGTTTATAAGCGATAATTTTGACTTTTAGGGAGGATATTGGGGAAAGATATTGGGGAAAGATGTCATCGTGCTTAGCTGTGTTGCAGTAGAAGGAAAGGTTTTGGTTGTGTCTAGATAAAACCAGACCCGGGAGTGGGGCTCGAACTCACGACATCGCGTTTAGCTCACAGGTTACCCAACCTCAACGCTACGAGCACCTATCGCCCTGCGCAGCTTGCTCAGTGTTTCGGCTAAAGTTCGGCCAAAGTGTCTGACATCTGTCAATGTCACGAGGCGAAACCCCAAGGTCAATGTCCGTCCCGGTAGCTCGGTCGGTAGAGCGTTGGACTCCATGTGCCATGTGGTCAAGGCGCACGTCCCGGTTGCAAAAGTCCGGGTTCGAAACACGACGTGTGCTCGACGTTTTTTTAGCCTCCTGACGTGTATGGTTGTGGTTGGTGGCAGGCCGCTGCCAGGCGAAGTCAGCGAGGGGACCGGCCGTGCGCGGCTATGTGCGCACGTTAAAATTTGGACTCTTAACCACAGACCATTTTGCCATAGACTAAATCTCAAAACCATAGTCTGCAATAGACCAGGAATTGCTTGATCGGAGGGTAGATGGCAGGTTTCAACGCTTAACAAGCTCAGCTCAGCGGGGACTCTGTCCTTGTGATTCCTTCCATTCAAAAGGTTCGGGCCAAATTTATATTAAAAAAGGGGGAGCCGAACCAGGTTGGGCCGAGTTGAACCAGGCTGGACCGGGGTCATACATGCGATCATGGTCAGACAAAACAGAAGTTAATTTCGGGTCAAATATTTTATTAACTGATCTTATTGTTTTTTAGCTTACACGTAAAATAACTTTTAGCTTTTTATAACTCGAGACTTCATGCACAGAAATGTGGCGTTCGTCCACTTTTCCTCATCGTCTCTTAGCGACTCGATTTCATGTGGTGGCGGAACGGGGGGGGGGAGGGGTGGGGAGGGGGGCATCGGGGCACCGTGCCCCCGTTTGATTTTGGCATTTTAACATTAGCCCTATGGGCGTTGCATGGAAAGAATGGGACCAAAAGTCGGCAGTGCCCCCACTTCATTAAAGGTGTTCCGCCGCCACTGCTTGATTTGACCCTAAAGGCGTCTTACCAGCCAAAAAAAAATCACCTGCGTTATGCCTAAATATTTGCCCAAGGGCGCTCTACGCAAGAAACGCCAGCCGGTCAAAAAACTGGCAAACGAATACGATCCCTCTAGTGCTTGAATTATATTCAATGAAAATTTCAGGAGACATAAATAATCTTTATCCTTATAGCTAGGCGCTCGGAGCATTCGCTAGCATTCCATTGCCAGCTGCATTATCAACGCCACATTTGCATTACTCTGGGTGCATCATAAGTAACAGTAGGTGAATCGGCCACAGCAAAACCGTGCCTAATTATCCTTTCCTTCCAAGCTGCCAAGCTAACCGGCCGCCCGGCCCACCACCGCGATATGGAACAACACTGGAGTGCGCCATTTGCCTACGGCAGTGCCCCACCGCGCCGGGGCTGTTTGACAGGTCATCCGCACCGTGACCTCGCCACCCGCCCCCCCCCCCCCCTCCCCGCCCACCTCCCCATCGGGCCCAGCTCGGTAGTGACCTCTCCTTGAATTTGACATGGACTCGACTAAGGCTCAACGCCATCTAGTTACGTCTGGAGATCCTAATAAGATCCACTGTACCTAAGCCCAATCAGCTGTCAGCTGTGCCGTACCTCAACCGTACTTCAGCGAATCTTGCTTCAGCCACCGTAAGCCACAGCAGCTACGAGGCAGCCGGACCTGGCCGTAAGGAGCCGGACTTGAGCCGTGGCAGCGAGCCGGACTCAAGCCAGACTTGGCGGTCTGAAACCATACCAACTCGGAAGCGCTACAGCAAAGGCTGGGTAACCAAAATAGAGTCATATACACAAGTCATATCATGTAGACCCAAACCCCGGCTCCGATGGCGTTTCGTTTAAACCGGCACATACCTGGTATGTCGGAGTTGCCGGGGCAAAACGGACTTGAGCCAGACCAAATTGCTGGCTGGATTGCCAGCTGGGAGCGCCGACTGATCCACAGTGCGCCGCCTCTGAGTCGCCTGCCTCAAGGTCAGGCGATAAGACCGCGCTCCGAGGCGGCGGCGTGCCGGCCGGCTGGTCCGCGACAGACCGTGGCCGGCTGTGAAGGGAGTCAGATCAGGGGGCTCTACTGAGAGTCGGGGCACCGGCAGACCAGGACAGAACATGTGGCTGTGGCGCCTGCTGCTGCTGAAGTTTCTACTGCTGGTCTGCCTGTCGGTGGCCGCCGGCGCCGCCGCCACCATCCTGAACGGTCTCCTGGTGTACGTGCGCCACCATCTGGCCGGCAGCAGCCGACCGCGCGCCGATTATGTTACTAAGAAGTCTGTACTCCTGCTCGTGTCGTCTACCCTGGCCGCGCTGCTGCTGCTCACCCAGACCAGGGAGGTGCCCTGGGAGTGGCTGGGCACGCTGACGCTGCTCGTGGCCATCGCGCCGGCCCTGCTCACCTGGCTCGGGCCGCCCAATGAGCACGTCGAAAACTGCCAGCTGTGCCAGATCGGTAAGGGCAGCGCCTACGGCCATTATTTTGGCTACCTCAGGCTCATGGAAGGCGATCATGGCATCCGGACACGTCTGGAGAAATTCAAACGTGAAAACCCTGCGGGCTTTCCAGAGGAAGAGCTGGAGAAATTATACTCCAAAGCAATAGTGGTGCTTGCGCCAAAGGATGGTAGTTACCCCGAACAATGGGACGAACTGGAAGGTGTTGGCAAGATCACTGCAACACTGAAACCCTTCAAGAAAAGAGTGGGTGGCAACGAGCGCAGCTATGGAGAATTCAAGGTGCATGAGGTGAAGTCGAGCGACGGCGAGCACAAGATGTATGTGGCGCTGGACAAGGTGGGAGCCCTGGAAACCCTCAAGAAGCTTCGTCAACACGGCCCAGCCGGCCTCAGCGCTGCCGACTGCCGGCAACAGATGAAGGAGTTGATGGAGGAGCTCGAAGAGATCGTGTCTGACAATGACCACCTGAAAGGCCAGCTGAAGGTGGTCAGTTACGACGCCGACGAGCATATCGGGGATGTCATCTTGGCGGCAATCACAGAGGGCTAAAAAGTAGAAACCATACAGACCACCGAATGGACTGTTGAATGTTGATACACGGAACAGAAGGGAGTATATTGATAGGTTGGGGGAAGAAAGCAGGGAGTGGACTGGACGAGTTGTGGACGAGTTGGACTGATGGTTGTGGACGGACACGACTGGCCGACTGATACGCGGGAGCGGACTCGAACGTCAGATCCGTTCGCGGCCGGTGGCGTCCGGTGGGGTAGATCCGTCTGCGGCTGTGTATCGCTGCGGGGGGCCGAGTCAGTCCGTTCCGCTGTGCATGATGTAAGACGCCCGGAACATTCGTGATACGACGGTGCAGCCGCGACCACCCCGCACATCGCAGGCCAGCGCGATTCGCGTCCGGCGTCAGCCATCCAGCCGCGTGGCCTCGCGTCTGACCCCGGCTGCCAGCTACCCCCGGCCAGTGTTACCGTCGATGAATTCGATGTAACGGTACAGGTAATTGGGATATGTGAACCATATAGGCTGAAATATGTACGGCTGTATCGCTTGAGTATATTGCGCATGCACTGAACTATCGTATGGTTATACAGAGAGTGTATTGAAAGTGATCACCTCACGGAGACATGTGAACTGATAGTGACAAGGACCCGGCAAGCGAGCTCTGAACCGTCCGGTTGGCCGAGAGTATGCACTGAAACGATGCCACTGTTCTCACTGCTGAGGACACCGTCCACCGAAACCTAGCACTGCTGAGTCTTGCATACAGCCACAACTATAAAATATACTTATAGGTCCCATCATGACTGAGAGCACGTTCGCTCTTTGGCTGCCCCAAACGCCGTGGCTTTAGCGGCAGACGAGACCGGCGCGCCCCTCCGGAGCGGTGACCGGTTGACCGCCGAGCTAACTGTGACCGGAGGAAGGCACCGGGCCGGCACTGTCCGCTCCATGGGCCGCGCTGCCCACCGGCGTGGGCAGCTAGCCGCTCCTCAGCCCTCAGGTGACTAAAAACGGGCAGCGATCTCATAAAACGATACACACATACATCAACAGAGATCCACAGACACAAACGTGAGCCGCTCCCTCATAGACGCATTAATTATCGGAGAGACGCCCACAATACACACACCGAGACGCGCGCGGCCAGATGGGCAGAGCGGCAGCGCGCTGACCGGGCACGGGCCGGGGCCGGGGCCAGCGGCTGGTCTATCACAGCTCAGCTCAGTGCAGCACCTTGATGAAGGCGTTGTAGCCCGAGTCGAGGTCGAAGAGCAGCTCTCGGATCTGCTCGGCGCTGAGCTCGTCCGCGGCCTGCATCTCGGCCATGGCGGACAGCCAGAACAGCAGACGCTGTTTACCTGCGGGGCGGCCAGAGGTCAGATGGGTCACACCGACACCGGCCAGAGGTCAGAGGGGTCACATCGACACCGACCAGAGATCAGAGGGGTCACACTGACACCGGCCAGAGGTCAGGGGGTCACATGGACACCGGCCAGAGGTCAGGGGGTCACACTGACACCGGCCAGAGGTCAGCGGGGTCACATCGACACCGACGACAGGTCAGCGGGTTCAAATCGACACCGACCAGAGGTCAGAGGTCATACCGACACCGACACCGACCAGAGGTCAGCGGGGTCACACTGACACCGACCAGAGGTCAGAGGGGTCACACTCACACCGACATCGACCAGAGGTCAGAGGTCATACCGACACCGACACCGACCAGAGGTCAGAGGGGTTACATCGACACCGACCAGAGGTCAGCGGGGTCACACTGACACCGACCAGAGGTCAGCAGGGTCACACTGACACCGGTCAGAGGTCAGAGGGGTCACACTCACACCGACACTCACACCGACACCGAAAACAGGTCCGAGAGGTCACATCGACACTGACCAGAGGTTAGAGGGGTCACACCGACACCGAAAACAGGTCAGCGGGGTCACACCGACACCGACCAGAGGTCAGAGGGGTCACACTCACACCGACTTCGACCAGAGGTCCAAGAGGTCACGCCCACACCGTGACGAGCTTGTTTCTCAATATAGAGGGAAGCGCTCGGGCGCGCGTCGGCCGCGAAACTAAAGCAAAAATTGCCTCAAAAGCCCAGACTTTATAGAATATGCATTATGCATGCACCCTACGTACAGCACTTAAAATTGAACATAAAATTGTTGTTACTCAGTACCCAGTATGCATGTGATGATATATCACGCCTGGCTGACCTGTGTATAGTGCAGACTACGACGCTCTACGTGGCCATGCCAAACATATGCCACGCTCCGGCCGTTTGGAGCGGGTACTGGACAGAAAGCCTCCAGGAACGCACCGATAGTGGGCGTGACGAAAACAAGACCCTGCACACACTGAACCCGTGCCTGGGCGGTGGCCCGATCGTAACACATGCAAGGGGAAAGGGAGTGGGCGCACCGGCTTGTAGCGTGTGTTCGCTAAGTGACGAAAATGGTGTCGAGTTTCTGTCGCCACGCTTGACTTAGGGTGAAGTCAGTCACTGGGCGAGGTCAGGTGACCCGCCGATGCGCGGCGGTGCCCAGCGGCTTGTAGGTTGGCTAGGTTTGTAGGTTGGTAGGTTGTAGTTCAAGTTATGATGATGATGATTGGGTTTGGTAGCGTGCCCAACCTCTGAGGGTTATATGACGTCAGTAGTTCAAGTTAGGTCAGGTTAGATTATGTTTTGTCCTATAGGTATGTAAGTCCCTGCCCACATATGCCACAGCAGATTTTGTACGTTGTAGGTTGTAGGTTGAAGGTTGGTAAGTTTTACGTTGTAGGTAAGGTTAGAATATGTTTTGTTCTATATGTTAGCCCCTGCCCCAAAGTCCCTGCCCTGGATCTGACCCTGATATGATGTCACCCAAGAGGCCACGCTATTGGGGTTTCCGGGAGGGCTGCGGTAGTTGGGGCGGGGTAATCAGCTCACGGCCCGCAGTGGCTATGACAATGCCCCCCCCCGCACACACACACACAAACACATGAAAATGTAGCAGTGAATTAGATGGCCGGTCACGTGCCGTGTACAGTCTCTCTTGAGAGTATTGCGACTCTGAGGGGAGGTCGCCACCTGTTCCAGCCGCGGATGAGCGGAAAAGTTTGAGGGCCACTGGTAGCACTGACCGGAGCCTGACACGCGGTGGCAGCCAGCGCGGCGGGACGAGGGGAGTGGTTGCGGAGGGATGGGGAGGCGGTCACCGTGCGGTAACTTGTGATGGCAGTAAGCAAGCACGTGGTCAACGGAGGCCACCCTACTCGCAGAGGATATGTTGAGATTTGTTTCATTACGAAGCTGAAAATTCGACCCGTCATCGGCACGACTACCACAGGTTTTTGGTTTAAAACCCTCGCCTCGTTGGGGGGGGGGCATTTTGGCCCCCCTGTGGTTTTTCCTGAATAGCAATAAAACGGCGGCGCACAGCGCCGCCAAATTTCAGTACCTTCCCGGGCATCAATTTGACACCTTCACACCAAATTTCAAGTCTTAGGTCACCTTAGGTCAGGAGTTATTGAGGTCAAACTGAGGTCATGTTCGAGCAAAAATGAGCAAAAAACATGCAATCTTGAAACGCTCACCAAATCTACAGTTATCAAGCAATTTCGAAGTTCTTTATATGGTCTAGTAGACAAAAAGCGGCGCTACAAAACTGCTATCTCGGATTTTCAAAATTTTGGGTTTTTGACCAAAAAAAAATCAAAAAATTGATTTTTTTATAAAAAACTAAAAAAATCAAAAAAATTTCCGACTTTCGAAAAAACCGGAACATATGTGATAGGTAGTCCCTGCGCTCTTCTATATACATACCAAATTTCAGATCGATATCTCGTTTTTTGGTCAAGTTATAGCGAAAAACCTGTTCAAAAATGATGACGTCGAATTTTTGAACTCAATTTTTAGCGATTCTAGACCACGTACGGCACGGCAAAACAAAGACCACCATTGAACTCCCCGTGACGAGCTGCATCGATTGGATACCCATTTTATGCAAAAATATCAACTTTGAAATTTGACCTAATTTGACCTGACCTTGACCAAAACGTGTCCTAATCTGGCTCCAAAGGCTACCTGACCCACATAATCGCATTTGTCATGTAAAATGGACCATAAAACATGTATCACACAACACTTTCATATTGTGACCCCCCAGTGACCTGACCTCTGTGACCTGACCTGGTATCACTGACCTCAAATAGCAAAATATGTGTTTGAAGAACATTTCCCATCGATGATTTTCAATGAAATGCATTTTACTCGATTTTACAACGCATTTCTTGAAATGCCTGTAAACGGTGAAAATTGGACCTTTGGCCTGACCTGTGACGTCATCGGTTTGACCTAGGTCAATGAAATTGGGTCACAAAGTAGTTCCCTGATAGGGCTATCCAACGCCGTTTACCGCTTGTCGCTAGGTTGCGTGGTTCTCGAGATCTTAGCGGGGGGGGGGCAAAATGCCCCCCCCCCCCAACAGGGCGCGTTGCTCGGCAGAGCCCAACGGGGCGCGGGTTAATCCGGAAACCCGTGCACGAATACGAAAAAAGCATCGGTTGCACCCGTTAACCGGCGCATGACTGGAATTTTTTTATAGCTCTACATTATAGCTCTACAGAGCCCCCCTCCCGTTTTTCAGCAATATCTTCTAAACCGTTTGACGGATGAACACGAAACTTGCGGTACCTTCAAAGGCATCAATTTGACACCTTGTGCTAAAATTTCAACTTTCTAGCTACCATAGTTTGACCGGGAATGACGTCAGAGTGACGTCATGTCGGCCGATTTTCATGCAAAATACTGAATTACGACAAACGCTCTCAAGAGCTCAGTTTTAACCCGGCCGGGCCCGGGGGGTAATCCCAACCACCGCAGCCCGGGGGGGGCGTTTTTCGCCCCCCCTGTCTAACTCCGTAAATAAGGGAGCTACGGAAACGAAAGCGATACCAAACGAAAGGTCCTTACGAGACGATTCTAATGCATCCAAAATTTTTGACCTCAGGTCAATTTTCAAGGTCAGAGGTCAAGGTCAAAGGCCAAAACCGGCACATGTGTAGTAATCTCAAATTAAGCATTCTAGAGGACGGCAGGCTGCATCAAACCGGCAAAATTGGGTGTCAAACGAAAGAAGAGAATCTGAGGATTCTGAAAATGTGCTCCAAATTAAAGGTCAAGGTCAAGGTCACGCTCAAAATTGACCTCAAACTTGGCACTTTTTCGCACATCTTGCGTGCCAACTGCCAAGATGTTTTGAAATGTTTTGAGGCTTACCAGTTCCCTATTTGTGGTTCATCTTACGATACAAGGCTGCTCAAAGGTCAAGGTCACAGAAGAGTATCCCTGCTAGAGGCTATTTCACTGATTCAAGTAAGTAATAATAAATAAGACAATTTTGCCATCCGGAAGCTCTAAATGAAGGCTTAGAGGAAAATAGATGCCAGATTCGTGATCAGCGGGTACAAATCCATCATAAACGACCTTTCATGTGTCAAGGTCAACCAGAGGTCATTCGAGGTCACATGAGGTCAACATGAAACTTGACCTTTTCCGAACAAAATATATATCATTCGACGCGGCTTGACAAGGCGAATGCGATGGTACCACTGCCGTAGCTCTAGGACCATTTTTGTCGAAGTTATTTGCGAAAAACTAAAACCACATTTCGGGGTCGTTGACCTGACCTCTGACCTCAGGTCACCGAAACTATTTTTCTATTTTTCTCTAGGTCAAACGCTACACAGCCGTGCTCGTAATTTGTCTTTATCTCTAAAACTCTATTTTTAGCAGCTATTTGAAGTTTGCGTCTGTGACGCCGAAGTTTGCCGTGTAGGGGTCTAGAAAAATGGACCTTGTGACGTCATCAAGGGGGCTAGGTCCAAATTTTTTACTTCAGAAGATGTCAAATTGATGGGAGAAAAGGTACTGAAAGTTTCGCCTTCCTATCCCTAAGCGTTCGTGAGTTATCGCAAATATTCGCCAGGGGGGGCGAAAAACGCCCCCCCCCCGGGCCCGCGAGGGTTAAAGCTAGATCCATTTTCTTTGCATGAGTGGACTACAAATAGGTACACGTAGCTATCAAACTGCTGTCTCGAATTTTCGATATTTTGAAAATTTTGAAAAATATGTATTTACAATTACAAAAAAAAATATATTTTTATTTTTTCAAAAAGTTTTTGGCTTTTCGCAAAAACCGGAATATATGTGATAGAACACACACTGATGCAATACATTTGCAAGTTTTAGCCCAATATCTTCAAAAATAGCCAAGTTATTCGCATTATTGTCAAAATTTTACAATTTCATGTTTTTTCAAATACATTTTTCGGTACGTTTTTGACGTCGTACAGCAATATAAATGGCACCATCGTGTTCCTGAGCTCAAACTGCATCTGATAGGCACATTTTTTGTTGAAAAATTTCATTTTCAAAATTTGACCTTTTCTGACCTGAAAGTGACCTGACCTCCGGTAACTTCAGCTGACAATGACCTCAAATGACACAGACGACACTATTTTCGAAATCTAAGAGTAAAATGGACCATAAAACATGCGTCACGCGACCGATACATGATATACAATTTTCGTGACCTAGGATGACCTGGCCTTGACCTTAAAAATTCGAAGTAAAAGTTCGGTACCCTCAGGGCATCTAAGGCATCCGTCAAGGAGTGCGTAAACCAAAAATGAGCCTGATCGGACCAGCCGTCCGGTGGTCAGAGCCTAAATTGTGAACTAGCAAAAATGTCGATAATTTTTACTTTGACCTGACCTGTGACGTCATCGGTGACCTCGAGGTCATTGAAAATAGGTTTCGCTCGACAGTTTTTCCAGGGCTATCAGACGCCGTTTGAATTTTGACGATCGGCCCAGTAGTTTCGGAGATAGGAGGGGGGGGGGGGCTCTGGAGAGCCCCCTCCCCTTAGTCACTCGCGTTATGGAAAATACCCCAGTCATGCGCATTGCGCGGGTTAACAGAATGCACCCGTGGTTGCATGCGCACCCGCGAGCAGATTCCAATCACAAAAATATCCGGTCTCTAGCCAGCCACTGAGTCCTTTATTTAAACGTTTCTCTTTTTGAATGGGCCGGTTGGTGAATGGCGACAAAAAAAGTTTTCTTTTTACAGCCGTTTTCATTTTTAACCCGCGCCCTGGTGGGGTCTGTTTATAACGCGACCTGGTGGGGGGGGGGGCTATTTTTTGCCCCCCCCCCTCGTATCTCCGAAACTACTGGACGGATCCGCAAAATTCAAACGGCGTTCGAAAAGCCTGTCAAATTTGTCGAAGGAAACCAAATTTCATTGACCTCGGGGTCACCGATGACATCACAGGTCAGGTCAAAGATGAAATGTTTCACCGTTCACGGGTCTTCTAGGGAATGCGCTATAACACCGAGGAAAACGCATTTTGTCGAGAATCAGCGATAGGGCGTCAGTTGCCTAGCAGATATGTTGCTATTAGAGGTCACTGACAATACCAGGTCAGGTCACAGGTCAGGTCACCAAGGGTCACAGGTCAGGTCACATGAGCCCAACTTTACAAAGGTTTTATGCATTATGCATGTTTTATGGCCAATTTTTCATGCATTTATGCATGTTTTATGGCCAATTTTTCATTTCCAACTCAATGGTGCTCGTTACAAGACTATCAGGTACGGCTTAGGTCACTTTCTGGTGAAGTTCAGGTCAAGGTCAGGTCAAGGTCAGGCCAAAAAAGGTCAAATTTTAAAGTTGATAGTTTTACATAAAATGGGTAATGATTCGATGCAGCTCGTCACGGGGAGTCTAATGGTGGTCTTTGTTTTGCGCTACGGCGTCTAGAATTGCTAAAAATTGAGTTTGAAAATTTGACGTCATCAATTTTGAACAGTTTTTTCGCTATAACTTCGCCAAAAAAAGAGGTATCAATCTCAAATTTGGTATGTGGATGGAAGGCCGTAAGGACTATCACATATATTCCGGTTTTTGCGAAATTCAAAAAACTTTTTTCATTTTTCGATTATTATATCCAAAAAAATTATTTTTTGATTTTTCGGGGTCAAAATCCAAAAATTTCAAAAATCCGAGATTGCAGTTTTGTAGCCCTGTCAATTCTACAGCTTTTATGTCTTTATCATTTTTCTGTATTTGCAAAGCTATAGGCCTGACAGCTCTTCCCGCGAAACCCTTTTTTGGGTCGAAAACGGCAGAACATGACGTCACTCTGACGTCATTTCCGGCCAACCTATCATAGCCTTTGGAAAAAAATTTTTGGTCACAATATGTAAAATTGATGTCCGGGAGGGTGCTGAAAGTTTGGTGACGATCGGCGCAGCGGTTCTGGAGATATATCGAAAAGTCTGGAGGGGGGGGGCAAAAATAGCCCCCCACCAGGTCGCGGGTTAAAGCCGAATTTGATGCCAGGCTCCCCCCCCCCCTCCCATGACCTGTTTACCGCCGTAGTAGGGTTATGGCGGAACTTTGCTTCGTTGTGATTTTACGCGTCACGCACACTGAGTGATTGGCGCCCACTAAGGCAGACCAATGAGCGCCCGGCTGGTGAACCCAAGCGGCGCCGGTATCCGCCTGGGGCGGTGGAAGGGTCAAGGGAGAGCGACACGAGTATGACCTCCGGCCGGCCTCCACCTAATTGACCCAGTTGTCAGCCGCTGGTGCATGCGTCATGTAGCAGCTTTCCTTCTACCGCTGGCGTAGGATAGCGTTATAGCGTACTTTTCATGATACAGGCCACGCCCTCACTGCTGGGGTCCTAAAACCGAATGGAATACGAGGGGTGTTCAAAAAGTTCTCGGCCCGACCATGAAGGAGCAGAGATACGACGTCGACTTATTAGACCAAAAATGTTCATTTAGTCAAATAACCAACGTTAAGACAAAAACATTTCGCGCAGCGCTTCGCGAGAGGTCCCAGGGTCTCCATAGCCAAGTGGGTTTTGGACTCATCTGGCACGTCCAAGACGGCTGCATTTGTCTCCTTGCTGTCAGCTAAGTTGCCATTGCTAAGCAATTTCCTTACGTTGGGGAAGAGGTGGCAACCAGAGGGTGCAAGGTACGGAGAAATAAGTGGCTGTGACAACAACTCGAAGCCACAGCTCACTGCTTCGCTGATCGTCACCCTGCTCATGTGTGCTGGTGCGTGGTCCTGGATCAGGCGCACACTTTTAGTCAGCTTCCCTAGTCTCTCCTCGATATCTGCTGCTTGCAACTATTATCGAAGGGAGGTGTAGTATTCATCATCAATTGTGCGCCACTGTTTTAGAAAGTTAACGAGCAGAGCCCCGTCAGCATCCCAAAATGCAACCACTGTCACCTTGCCGACTGACTTAAACACGTCGCACACATTTGGTGGCCTTTACTCAGTGTGCTTCCACTTGTGCAACTCGGTCACGCCCTTAGGGTCAACGTGTGACACCCACAATCCCTCCTCGGTAACAAGTAGTTCAATGAACTCTTTTGGATCTTCGATAAAGGGGCCAACATTTTCGCGTTACGCCTCCTTTCGAGTTTGCCTTTCCTCTGGAGTCAGCAAATGGGGGATGCATCTTGCAGAGATCTTAAACATATTAATACGCTGTTGAAGAATGACTTTGAGGAGCCTGATAGACACCTCCGCTTCTGCTGCGTTGTTCTAGACCAGAACATTTGTCATGTTTCACAAAGAAGTGCTTATTTTTCATATTTTCTTGAGTTAATGCTGTTGATGGCTGGCCACTGCGGGGTTGACCATTAATGATCTGTTGACCAAAATTGAACAGAGATGCCCACTTTTTGACGCTACTGTAAGAAAGACAAACCTCAACATGTGTTGGCACTAGCTTTTCGTGAATAACGTTTGGTGCATTTTTCTGCAATGCACGAACCAAATCACTGTTCTCTTCTGGGCGTCGCCCATTCTGACCGGGAATGGCAAACAGTATGTTGCGATTAATTAGCAACCTGAACCAATCACAGGGCAGATTGGTTAATGGCTATGCAAGTGGACATCCCAATAACACATCATTGAATACACCGCCTTACAGGCCGAAATTCCAACTCCTTCATGGTTGGGCCGAGAACTTTTTGAACGCCCCTCGTAGTTCGCCGAGCTACCGCAGCCCATGAGCCGATACTTTCAAGAGAGACTTTACACTCGGCGCTGCCCTGGCGCGCCAGCTCACCCTCAAAGTCCTCTGGCAGCACCGAGAGACGGTTCATGGTGTCGAGCAGGTCGCGGATGTCGGTATGCAGCTCGTCCTTGGCCTTGATCTCCAGGCGCAGCTTGTCCATGATGGTGATGTACAGCTGACGGCCACACGGAGAGTCAGGCAGTGCAGAGGGAGCACAGGCAGGGACGGAGAGATGGCCCAAGAAAACGGCAGTTAATCGTACAGGGGCAGCGAGGCTGAGAGTAGAGAAACAAACGCGAGAGAGAGAGAGAGAGAGAGAGAGAGAGAGAGAGAGAGAGAGAGAGAGAGAGAGAGAGAGAGAGAGAGAGAGAGAGAGAGAGAGACAGAGACAGAGACAGAGACAGAGACAGAGACAGAGACAGAGACAGAGACAGAGACAGAGACAGAGACAGAGACAGAGACAGAGACAGAGACAGAGACAGAGACAGAGACAGAGACAGAGACAGAGACAGAGACAGAGACAGAGACAGAGACAGAGACAGAGACAGAGACAGAGACAGAGACAGAGAGAGAGAGAGAGAGAGAGAGAGAGAGAGAGAGAGAGAGAGAGAGAGAGAGAGAGAGAGAGAGAGAGAGAGAGAGAGAGAGAGAGAGAGAGAGAGAGAGAGAGAGAAATGCAGTAGGTAAATGAACCAAAAGGAACCGTAAAATAATGACGCTCTTAGGAAGTGACAGCCGTACCAAAACAGTGAAGACGCATCCTTACACAACGCAACATTTCGATCTCGCGCAATGCCTGACGCCGATTGTGGCTGCAAACTCTGCATGGCCACCGTTTAGTGAACTTCTGATCCAGAGAGCCCGCTTAGGTCAGTACGGCATTGATAGGGGCGTGGCGCTGACTGACTGTGCACCGATCCCGGCCGCCGCCACTGGCTGGTCGGCAGCCCGGGTCAGCGGCGCCGCTCGGGAAGGGCCGCGCCCTGACTCACCGACACGGTGTCTGCGATGCACTTGTTGGTGCTGCCCTTGTCGTCCTTGATGGTGATGGGCCGGTCCTCTCGTATTCTCTCCATGGCCGCCGGGCAGTCCAGCTGTGGCGGTAGGGGGGAGGGGGGAGGGGTCAGACCCGCCTGCTGCTCACTGCACGTACCACCCGCGCGCACACACTGGGGTGCACACGGACAGACACGGACCCAGAGCGGCACCGTGGGGAGACGCATGTAACGGAACGGCGCCGGGGAGACACGCATCCGGAGCGGGCGGAGAACGTGCGGACGCTGCTACCAGCGAGCAGCGTGGAATGAGGTCCCAGAGCAGGTCGGACAGAACGGTCAGGCGCTCCATAAGTGGAACCGACGAATGACGATACAATCATACAAAGCACACACATGACTCTAAGGCGATTTATAAGGACAATTATAATTTATAACACACGCCGTCCAGCCAATTTTCCTCATCTGTTTCGCTTGGTAGCAGAATTCTTTGGTTGCCATACCCGCAGTGACTCACTCACCCTGAACCGCCTCATGAAGACCTCGACGTTGGGGAACTCGTCCGACTGCACCTGGCGCATGGCGGCCTTGTACTGGACGAGCAGCTTGGAGCAGGCGGCGGTGTACTCCTTGGCCGCCACCCGGTCCTTGATGTACGCCTTCTCCAGGTTCTGGAGCGTGTTGATGACGGCGTACAGGTCGGCCATGTTGTCGTACCTAATGAGAATAACGGCGTCACACGAGCGTACACACATACACACGACCGTCAACGTCTGGGTCTACAGGGTGTTGATATGGCTAATGGAATGAGCAAGCACAATCTTGACCATGCTACAAGCTGTACAATGTACATCTCGAAAAAATATAATCTTATTTAAATCTCACCAGCCTATCTTAGGGAATGCAATTTGTCATTAGGCACTATTCTGCCACCAAAACCCCAAATCCCCATAGTTCTCTGCTTCGACCATGTTGAGTCTCGACTGTCAGCTATATGTCTATCGCACCGAGGCCTACTTACTTCTCTCGCTCTCGAGCATTTCGGTAGAGCTTAACTTCTTCATACAGCTCTGGTCTCTGGGGCTCTGTAAAAAATCAAATCAGTCAATCGTCGAGTATGATATGAATAGTTTTATCCACACTACTCCTATTGAAGCAGTCAATGTCTTCCTAGTTCCTACCTGGACTAGCAAGCAAAACAGGCACCTATGCTGAGATCAAAAGACTATGAAAGACAAACCATGCCATGACACAGATCTTCAAAAAGTAATCTGTCTTCAGATCGGTTCTGGAATGGCATACGGCCGACTCCTTGCACGAAAATGGGATCATCTGAACCGTCGCCCGTATCGGCGTGTTCGTGACCGCCAACGTTTATAGGGGAGAGGGGTCGAACGGACCCCCACACAGCCTTCAGCCCCGGATCGAGCTAGAGATTCGCGGAAAGTAAACGTGCGTATTGTTCGTGACGTGAAGAAGCCGGTGATGCCCAATTTTAAAGTTCTGAGACATTGGTTGCCCTTCCAGGCCAGTTTAATGATTCTAATGTCGGAGATCGAGACCTACTAACTAAGAACTTCTTCAAGTGAGGTTTTCTAGAGGGCAGGTCAATTCGGGTCAACCGTCAGCTGATCTGCCGGGCATTTTTAACATGTGTTTAACAACACTGAAAGTTTTGCAACATGCATCATGAACTCCAACACTAGTTCCTTAGCCCGCGCCCCACTGAGGTGTGTATCGTATCGCGCCCCACTGGGGGGGGGGGGGGGAGGGGCAAATCATAGCTTCCCCTACCAACTCCGAAAGGCGAAAGTACGGGGCCGATTGTCAAAATTCAGACGGCGTCTGATAGCACCAGAAAAACTGTCGAACGAAACCTAACTGCCTTGACCTATAGGTCACCGATGACGTCACAGGTCGGGTCAAATAAAAATTATCAACATTTTGGCTTGCTCACATGTTGGGCTCTGGCCACTGGCAAAAAAGTCAGATCATGCTCGTTTTTGGATTACACACTCGTGAATAGATGCTTTAGATACCATGAGGGTACCAAACTTGTACTTTGATTCTTTTGAGGTCGAAGCCAGGTCAATATCCCAGGTCACATAAATTTTATATCATGCGTAGGTCACATGACACATGTTTTATAATCCCTTTAGGCCACATATTAAGGAATCAGTGTCGTCTGTGTCATCTGAGGCTATTTTCAGCTAAATATAGCTGAGGTCAGGTCACTTTCAGGTAAAAAAGGTCAAATTTCGAGGTCGAGATTTTGAACAAAAAAGGGTTTCTGACATATGCAGTGACACCTACCTACCTTGATTTATGACACAAACATCATTTTCACATCTTGACATATCATATCACTTTTCACAAGAAAAGCATGGAAATGCATAGATAATGTGGAATGACACCCTTAAATATGCATTCTGGCCTAACACAGCCTTAAGATAGAGGACACAGGTCAAAGGCCATTTAGGGCAGGGCTATGAAAATAGGTGCCATTAGGTGTGTGGTACACTAGGCAAAGGACACACTTGTGTGGTAAGGGGAAGTTGAACTTCTGTATCCCTAGTAACTAATGATGATCGCTGATGATTGCCATTTTATGTCATTTTGAGAGTGAGTTTACTTCATGACAGTAAATCCCAGAAGCAGTTATGTTGCTTAGTCTGGAGTAACAGTAGCAAGTGGTTGTAGGTAATGCATACCTTGGAAGCTGGTAGATGGTGTTCCCAAGCCAGAAAATAGAGCCATGGCTAACTATTGATGCACTCCTAGCTCTGTCAATATTTGCTTCCTCTCTGCAAGGCACAAAAGCAACAATTAGTTAAATTTCCATCAAACATCAAGACAAATCACTCATTGATTCACATTGTGTATGAACACTGAAGTAGATTGACTCCTGAGATATAAGAGGCTTGAATCTGATTGGAACTATTGTTTGGCAGAAATAATTGCTGCCATGAAGGCTGAAGCAGCTTAGCCCTCAGGGTATGCTAGACTTCGCTATACCAAAGCCTTTAGATAAGTAATAAGTATGTATAAACAAAATATTAAGAGCAACAAACCTTTATTAAAATAGCTGTACAATGTAATGTCAAAATAGGTACAAGAGCATAGCACACTAGGTGGACTAGCCAAGGCTGGTTCCCTGGCTAAAAACTACAATTTAAGTTACATTGGCATCATGATCACAGTTATTCAATCCAATGAAAAAAATGGAGCACAGCTAATCCAATCCAGCCTTCATCAACCTTAACTAATTCAGCCAATCAAACCTTCCCTAATCCTAAGGTGAGTTTAGGTAGGATCACAATTCAAAGTCAACCATATGATATAATAACCAGTAAAGTGTAATTCTCACTTTATTTTGGTTTCCAACTACAGTAATAGCCATGGTGGACCTCACTATGAGGCTTGGAAATGACAGAATGTCAGGGCCTGTCAACAGCATTATCAACACTCCAGGTCAAGTTCAACTGTGCTGTTTAGTGCTGTTTCTTTTTCCATCAGCATACTGCCAAATTGTTATATACATAAGATCCTTGCTAGCATTTCCTTGCCTCTCATTGAAAAAGCAGAGAATGACACCCAGACCAGACCAATGCATGCATCTTACTTTGAATTTTGACAAGAATAACAATATTGGAATGTTTTCCAAGTTGATATATTGTCACATAAAAGTTGGAGTTGGGCTATATTCAACAATGCAAGCAATTTTTTCATATTTTCAAGAATTGAAAGTGAG